GGAATGCCAAGGAGACGTATGGCTGTCATCATTCAAGCCTCACCCTGTGCAACCACACCCCAGGCTGGGCCAATCTGGTCACAGAAAGAGGGAGGGCAGGAGGCAGGGCTGGGCATAAAAGGAAGAGCAAGGCCAGTGGCTGCTTACTGTCATCATTCAAGCCTCACCCTGTGCAACCACACCCCAGGCTGGGCCAATCTGGTCACAGAAAGAGGGAGGGCAGGAGGCAGGGCTGGGCATAAAAGGAAGAGCAGGGCCAGTGGCTGCTTACACTTGCTTCTGACACAACTGTGTTCACTAGCAACTACACGAACAGACACCATGGTGCATCTGACTGGTGAGGAGAAGTCTGCCGTCACTGCCCTATGGGGCAAGGTGAACGTGGAGGAAGTTGGTGGTGAGGCCCTGGGCAGGTAGGTATCCAGCTTACAAGGCAGGCTTAAGGAGGGTGAATGGCAGCTGGGCACGTGGGGACAGAAAAAGCCCCTGAGATTCTGACAGGTGCTGACTCCCTCTGTCCTTTTGCTGTTTCCACCCCTTAGGCTGCTGGTTGTCTACCCCTGGACTCAGAGGTTCTTTGAGTCCTTTGGGGACCTGTCCACTGCTGATGCTGTTATGAAAAATGCTAACGTGAAGAAACATGGCAAGAAGGTGCTAGCCTCCTTTAGTGAGGGCCTGAAGCATCTCGACGACCTCAAGGGTACGTTTGCTGCGCTGAGTGAGCTGCACTGTGACAAGCTGCACGTGGATCCTGAGAACTTCAGGGTGAGTCTATGGGATCATCAACGTTCTCCTTCTTCTTCTTTTTTGTGGTCAAGCTCGTGTCATGGGGAGAGGGCTCAATGGCAGGATGCAGTTTAGAATGGAAGAGAGGTATTCTGGTTACGGCACTATGGACTCGGGACCATTTTGTTTATTTTAGTTTATTTTACCCTGTTTGCTCACAGCCATCACCTCCTCTTATTCATCCTTGTTCTCTTCTGTTTGTTCTCTGCAATGCATTCTCCTTTTCTAATCACACTTTATTTTGAGTGTCTAATTTTAAAAAGAGACTTTCTTTTTTTATCCACTTAAAAAACTGTTATCTAGTATTTTCCTCTTATCTCTTCCTTTTGAAGGAAGGAGGATAAAATGTTGTATTGCTTCTTGAAATGGTTCTAAAGAATAAAAATGAAAACACGTTCTGGATTAAGGCAGAAAGAGAGAAACATTTCTAAATATCAATTCTTTCCCTAAGGATATGGGAAGGTCCCTGAAGGTCTGCAGATAGGGTGTCTTTGTCAAGGTCAAGGGAAATGAGAAAGAGGTCAAGGGAAATGAGGAAAGGAAGGGGGCCATCCACAGTCAGTAATGGATGAAACTTCTATCTTAGAGCGTAAAAACGGTCAAGAAGGCTTGAAATATAGAGAGGATACCGGCATTACAGGGGCTCGATGGGAGACCTCAAACCTAAGGGAGAAACTTCAGGTTAATGCTCTGATCCATTTCCAGTAATTACTCAAAATATAATGTGCTCAATCAGAGACATAATGATTGCTCAAAGTCCTGTTATGTCTCCTTTTTTCCTACTTCTCTTGCTTGCATGCTGTAGGCAGCAATGCTATACTACATCAGATGTTCCTGTTCTAAGGCAAAACCTCCCTCTCTCACTTGCCCCAAAAGACCTCAAAATTAATCCTACCCTCCCTTTTGAGGTAAAGTTCAGTGCTCACATTCCACCTGCTCACATATCTTTTGACCCTGGTCTCAATGAACTTTCCAGGATTGCCTAAGGAAATCTTTCCATACCCCCCACCCACCTTCACCCACTTTTCACTTTTCTTCCTATCAAGCACACTCACCCTCCATGCTGTATTAAGCGTTTCTGCGTATTTTGTACTTTCCTACGTGACTACTGTGCCTTTTATAGTAGGTCCTCCATAGACAGTAAATGTATACTTATTAAATGAAGTAATCAATGAATGAATTATTATTTCTTGTCTTAGAACTCCGGGGAGTAGAGGACAATCCAAACAATAGACCATTGCTTAGAGTTTCTTTGTGTTAATGCACAAAGAAAGTAAACCACTGAGGAAGCATATAGGAAAATAAACCACTCATCAGACATTTGCTGTGTCGTCATAGGTAATAAAGTATCTTTGAGCATTAATTTTGTCAAATGTAACATTAGAAGGATTTAGAGAACCTTCTAACTTATATGCATTTCTTTAAATCTATATCATGTTCCTGTTGATTAATTTTAGACTTACTTGACTACCTGAAACAGGACTTGTTGCTTCCGTCTATAAAAGGTGTTTTTATAGTAATTTTGTTTTACTACCAGGTTATAGACAATGCATTACAGTTTACTGTTTCACCACTATATTGTGAATTAACTGAAGGCAGATGATTTTTTAAGTATTTATTTGTTTATTCTCAGGTCATTGTACACAGTAGGCACTGAGAACGCTTTACATCCCAACAGTATGTTTACCTGGTTACATCCCAGAAGCAGAGGAGCCTCAGGAGAATTTTAGGAAGTTTCCTTTCACACTCAAGAGCACAGAAAAGTCATCATAAGAATCAGACCTTAGGAGACAAAGAGATTTTCAAAGGATTAGAAAGAGGGTAAGAGAGGCTGTGGGTTTCACAATCTGGAAATGAGGAAAGAAAGTACCATTCTTCCCTCTAAACGCTCATAAAAAATAAAAAGTATATAAAGACTTACTACACTCTCTTTTGTTCCTTCACCTCTGAAACTGGCCAATGAATCTAGACAAGAAGTTGGGCCTGAAAATCTCCAATACTGGAGAATTCAAGAGAACATCACTGGGATAAGACTGGATCAAGCTGAAACAATTACTATATACTAGGTGTTGGTGTCTCCACATCGGGAGTGAGGAAGTCAAAGGATGGAAGGAGACTCTGGCAGCTTGTTATATGCTTTCATTCGTTGTTAAAGTGGAGCTTCCATAAAAGTCTAGGAGTAAAATTAATTCCTTAATATTTGATTTCAATTTTACGTGATAATTTACCCAACGGTTATTTCTATTTTCTGCTACCATGTTGCTTTATAGACTATGTTCAGTATGTGTTCATGAAGATGGGGTATGTGTGTGGAAGAAAGAGAGATGGAAAGTGAGAGGAGGCAAGGAGAGAGAGCCAGAGCCAGAGAGTCAGAGAGAGAGGGAAAGGGAGGGGAGGGAAGGGGATAAGGAAGGCGATGAGAGAGAAAGGGAAGTAACTAATACTGTGCATTATGTTCCATAATCATTTTAAAATAAACTAATTTAATGTCAAGGGAATGTCAGCATAACATAACATAATGTCAGCATAACATTCTAGATTATCCATCTCTTGAGCCTCAGAGAAGGGCCCTGAAGCTTTGGCTTTAGGATTTAATGCCTTACATATTTGTAAACAGTTTCCAGACTGAAGCCAAGATTCTGCCTCTAAAGATGTACAGTTCCAAATTTAACTTGGGAGAGACTGTCCCTTTGCTCTTGATATGGCAGTACCATAGCCCACTTATGAGGTAAACAAAGCTAATTCTGAATGAAAATCTGAGCCCAATAGAGGAAATATTGATAAGGAAGTTACTAACTGAGACATTACCTGTTCTGTAATAATTAGAATATAATTCCTTTATCAAAGTTATGGTTATACTGAATTTATTGTTTTATAGACAGAAATATGACTTTTTTTCTTTTTAAATGAGTTAAACCATACTATCTTAAACTATTCTGTGTGTATGACCTCTGTTTCTATGAGTTCTGCTCCTCATGGAGCATCTTTGTTTTATTTAATTGTATTTATTTAATTTATTCTGTTATATTCTATTTTACTTTATTATTTTTGGAAGAATGCCAAAATTGTGGTAACTAAGATATTGTGTATCTGGGAGAGAAGAGTAAATAATAACTGCTTTATCAAGAAAAATATAGATTAGATTGCTGAAAGGGTCTACTTGGGGAATTAAAATTGAACACTAGAGCATGTACAAAAGAGTTCTCACTGAAAAGTAATTTTTGAAACAGATGATAAAACCACACATCTCTGGATGAATGTCATAATTATATTATATTCTAGGGGCACAGTTTGTGGTGAGACTGAAATATGCTGAGTCCAAGTTGGGTCCCTCTTATAACCATGCCCTTGTTTCTCGACTGTTCCACACAGCTCCTGGGCAACGTGCTGGTGGTTGTGCTGGCTGAGAACCTTAAAAATGAATTCACCCCGGAGTTGCAGTCTGCCTATCAGAAGGTGGCGCCTGGTGTGGCTAATGCCCTGGCCCACAATTACCACTAAGCCCCCTTTCCTGATTTTCAGGAAAGACCCTTTTGTCCTCAGAGCCCAAAATCTGGATACAGAAAAATAAAGAAGAGTTTTTAGCATCTGGTCTCTGCCTAATAAAAACATTTATTTTCATTGCACTGGTGTATTTAAATTATTTCACATCTCTCACTCAGATGTCTCTCACATGGGAGGGCAGGCATTTAAGTCATAAAGAAATAAGGGGCTAGTTGAGACCTTGGGAAAATATATCTGTATCTTGGACTCCATGACAGGAGTTGTTGTAAACAGCTAATATAAGTGGAAAACAGACTCTGCTGCTTATTCTTACTTTCCCTTAAAGAATTCAAGTTGCAGTTTGATTTGGGAGTTAGATCATTGCTATGTTTTATTTAAATCAATTATTTTATTTAGCCTTCCTTGTAAATGTCTTTTCTCTCTTTAATTGTCCAGAACCTAACAGCCATAATTCCAGTAAGTTCTTCTGCCTAAAGACACCACTGTTCTTCTAAGATTTTCCTTATGTATTTTACTGTCCTTATTGCTCCTCCTCCTTTGACCGCTCTTATCCTAGTTTCCTCTGTCATCTTATAAAGATCTGCATGAAGGACAGAAACCAGGGGGAGGTAGATTTCCTACCTCTTCCCTTGTATTGTAATACTGTGATAAATATAGGACTTAAGACAATGTAAAAAGGGGCTTTTGTGGCTTGATATTCACTGCTGTCTTGTAATTCTTTCATGGTCTTACACCAAATGGAATTCCATTCTCCTCAAGATGGTTTAACATCTACATCCAGGAAGTGATTGGAGGTCTGCTCTCTTCCTTATCCTGTCTCTGATGGTTTCTCTGCCTTTGTAGTTATTAACATAGTGTTACCAGCAGCAACACATGCCAATTTAATGTTATTATTCAATAGCCACTTATGTGGATGCTTGATTCTGGAAATAATATATGAATTTCAAGTAATCCTTGTCCCCTGCTGCATCCCAATTCTGAATCTAGTTGGGAAGATTCTGAAGGTAATGCATCTAACAAGTGACTATAAATGAGTGTGTACAAGGCTTTATGAGATCAGAGAGTGAAGCTCTTGGTATGAAATGGGTGATAAAGATAAGTAGATACTTGTCCAAAAGAGAAGAGGAAAAAAACCAGAAAAGAAAGGGAGGATAACATATGTCAAATCATCGATGAATAATTTGTTTGTGTATTCTGAGAATTTCAAATAAATAAGAAAGAGAATTGAAGCAAAACTGCCTGGAATGGAATAGAATAGAATAGGCTATGAATATGAATTTGAATATAAGAGTATATGAATTTTGGTGAACACTGTGGGGGACATATTTAAAATTAAAAACTCACAAACAAGAGGATACGGTCTCATTATTCATGAGATGCTTGCACTGCTAATTGACAAGTACAGTAAGATAGTATAACAGTTCAGAACATAATTTTGAAATCAGACAGCCTGGATTGAAAAAAAACTCTACTACTTATCAGCTCTGACCTTGTGAAAAATTAGCTAACTTTGCTGAACTTCATTTTTCTTACCTGTAAAATACCCAAAATGATATCATTCTTATGGTGTGATTTTAAGGATTAAATGAGATAAAGTGCACAAAAAAGTTCATTGCAACATCTGGCACTTCACATTGCCTGACACACAGCTCAGCAAATGTAAACTAAATAGTATTTTTGTTATAATTATTATGAATAATATGGGTAGAAGTGGCATCATTGATACCGATGATGATACCTGAAAGAATTGTCTTATTAAAGAGAAAAAACATAACCAAAAATATTATTATTTTTAAAATTTGTTTATTTATTTATTTATTTTTGGCTGCGTTGGGTCTTCGTTGCTATGCACGGGCTTTCTCTAGTTGCAGTGAGCGGGGGCTACTCTTCTTTGTGGTGCACGGGCTTCTCACTGCAATGGCTTCTCTTGTTGTGGAGCACGGGCTCTAGGTGTGCAGGCTTCAGTAGTTGTGGCTTGTGGGCTCTAGAGTGCAGGCTCAGTAGTTGTGATGCACGGGCTTAGTTGCTCCATGGCACGTGGGATCCTCCCGGACCAGGGCTCGAACCTGTGTCCTCTGCACTGGCAGGTGGATTCTTAACCACTGCACCACTAGGGAAGACTAGAAATATTATTTCTTGTCTGGTACAAGCCATGCCCCACTCCCCAACCTCTTACATTCAGTGATATGTGTGATTTGTTCATTCCTGAATAACCACAGCTGAATGTACCAGTTGGGGTCCAGCTGGGAGAAATAAATCACATTGTCAATTATAACAAGAGATTGGAGAACTGGAAGACTGATTACTGAGGAGTAAAGAGGACTCTAAATCGCTACGAATAGAAGATATAGGAAGCAGGCACTGTTCCTAGTGCTGAGATAGAGCATTCAAGTAAGGAACAATATGAGAAAGGTCTTTCCCCCAGACCTCTTGAGAGAGAGCATGCCCAAGGCTCAATGCATGGTTGAAAAAAATTTCAGGCTGCAAAGCTACCTGAAGTGAGGTACATAGGCATCCATCCATTGGGAAGTGCCATGTCAGCAGCATTTATTGAAAATCTGTTCCCTGGGGTGCCAGGGGCAGCCATCCAGGAGGAGGAAGTGCACCTCAGATGTTCCTATGAAACTGCTTGGGGGTATAACGGGAGAAATGATTCATGAGAAAATTCCAGAAAAGCAACACTGGATTACAAAGTTACTCCTGGGGTGTCAGAAGAAGCCATTCACTGGAGATCCTGCCTTAGCTGCAGCTGTCCACCGCTGCAAAGCCATGTGTGTTGCTGGAATCTGGCCCTGGAGAAGCTGAGCACCTTGCTGAAACCTGGAGCTGTAGAGACAGAGATGGTTGCAGCATCCTGACTAGAGAATCACAGCAGAACTAGGAAGAGAATCCCCTTCCTCCTCCAGTGCCTCTCCAGAACACTCTACTAACAAAATTTAACATCATGCCAACTTGAAAAGGAGAGCTTCTATCAGAGTCTACATCCACCATCACAGTATGGGCAATTAAGAGTGGATTAAGAATCAACAGACAATTGATAATTGACACCTCCACCCCCCACCACTGGCCTACACTAAATGCTTGTGTCACTTAGAGTACATAGGGCAATATGTGAGAAAAATGCAATTATGACTAGCAAATGATAAAGCAGTGCTTAGAGGATTAAGAAATTAGTAAAAGAAGTAGGGCAGACTTTATCATTGTTTGGATTAACAATTTCTCCTCTGTATAAATTTGATATATTTTTCAACTTGTTCAGATTCTGGGCAAACAAAAGGAGTATGTATTCTGTACTCCCATATCCAAGAGAAAGATTGCATACATTACTTCCACTCTTCTGTTTTTGTTTCAGCGACGAGCATAATGGTGATAATTTTGAAATTCAAGCAGAGTCTTACTTTATAGCAGATTTTCAACACCACTCTGTAAAAGGTTTACTTTTATTTTTTCAATATATCCTTCAACCTTACACTGTTATCACATCTAATGTAATTAGAAACTGTGTATCCTTGTAAAATGCACAATGATTTTATGTAATTTATACAAATTGAATTTTCCTATAAAATATCATTTTTGCTTGTTTATCTCACTCAGTATATTACATGAAAATTCAGTTGAATTGTTTTGCAAGTTTTAGCCACAGCAATCACAGAAGAAAAAGAAATAAAAAGAATCCAAATTGGAAAAGAAGTAAAGCTGTCACTGTTAGCAGATGACATGATACTATACATAGAGAACCCTAAAGATGCTACCAGAAAACTACTAGAACCAATCAATGAATTTGGTAAAGTAGCAGGATACAAAATTAATGCACAGAAATCTCTTGCATTCCTATACACTAATGATAAAATATCTGAAAGTGAAATTAAGGAAACACTCCCATTTACCATTGCAACAAAAAGAATAAAATACCTAGGAATAAATCTACCTAAGGAGACAAAAAACCTGTATGCAGAAAACTAGAAGACACTGATGAAAGAAATTGAAGATGATACAAACAGATGGAGAGATATACCATGTTCTTGGATTGGAGGAATCAACATTGTGAAAATGACTCTACTACCCAAAACAATCTACAGATTCAATGCAATCCCTATCAAACTACCACTGGCATTTTTCACAGAACTAGAAAAAAATTGTTCACAATTTGTATGGAAACACAAAAGACCCCGAATAGCCAAAGCAATCTTGAGAAAGAAAAATAGAGCTGGAGGAATGAGTCTCCCTGACTTCAGACTATACTACAAAGCTACAGTCATCAAGAGAGTATGCTACTGGCACAAAAACAGAAATATAGATAAATGGAACAGGATAGAAAGCCCAGAGATAAACTCACAAACATATGGTCACCTTATCTTTGATAAAGGAGGCAAGAATATACAATAGAGAAAAGAAAGCCTCTTCAATACGTGATGCTGGGAAAACTGGACAGCTACATGTAAAAAAATGAAATTATAACACTCCCTAACACCATACACAAAAATAAACTCAAAATGGATTAAAGACCTAAATGTAAGGCCGGACACCATAAAACTCTTAGAGGAAAACATAGGAAGAACACTCTATTACACAAATCACAGCAAGATGTTTTTTGATCCACCTCCTAGAGAAATGGAAATAAAAACAAAAATAAACAAATGGGACCTAATGAAACTTAAAAGTTTTTGCACAGCAAAAGAAATCATAAACAAGATGAAAAGACAACCCTCAGAATGGGATAAAATATTTGCAAATGAAGCAACTGACAAAGGACTAATCTCCAAAATTTATAAGCAGCTCATGCAGCTCAATATCAAAAAAACAAACAACCCAATCCAAAAATGGGAAGAAACCTAAATAGACATTTCTCCAACGAAGATATATAGATTGCCAACAAACACAGGAAAGAACGATCAACATCATCAATAAATAGAGAAATGTAAATCAAAACTACAATGAGATATCATTTCACACCAGTCAGAATGGCCATCATCAAAAAATCTACAAACAATAAATGCTGGAGAGGGTGTGGAGAAAAGGGAACCCTCTTGCACTGTTGGTGGGAATGTAAATTGATACAGCCACTATAGAGAACAGTATGGAGGTTCCTTAAAACACTAAAAATAGAACTACCATATGACCC